ATGAATAGCTTAGAGAAAGAGAAGTTAAAGAAAGCAGAAGGATAATTCTTTACACACACACACACACACACACACACACACACACACACACACTTTATCTTATTATAATTTTTTCGGAAGCAGGAGTGGCATCCACTTCATTAAATATCTTGCCTCAGGAAACCCTCTGAACGTGGAGAAAGGATGAAAGTCACACAAGTGTTGAGGACTTTCGTTCATAGGGTTGCTATGAGTTGCCTATGACTCAAAGGCACTTAACAACGACAACAACATTATGATTTTAACAAAAGTTTACAGAAAAGTTGGATTTTTCAGTCATTCATTACTGCACATTTCCTTCCCTCTCCCTCAGTTCTCCTTTTAAAAAAATATTCGCTCATTGACTTTATGTATTTAATGATAATTCTAATCACATTCTCAGCCAGTTTGTATCATTGATTAAAATGTTCAAGAAAGTCTTTCCAAAAAGGAAAAGTCAAAAAATCATTTTGGATTAAAGAGATTTGTGGACTATTGTTATTATTAGGTTCCACTGAGTTGACTACAACTCACAGTGACCTTATTAACATCTCTGAATCTTTCTCTGTCCTGAACTATCCTCACAATCTTGAGCCCATGGTGACAGTTACTGTGTAAAACCGTCATACTGAGGGTCTTCCTCTATTACTCTGACCCTCCACCTTTCCCAGCATGATGTCTTTTTTCCAAGGACTGCTACCCCCTGACAGCATGCCCAAAGTATGTAAGACAGTTAATGAAACATTTATTAAAAAACTATGACTAGGTACTTTATGGTTGACAGAAAGCATAAGCCATGGCTACAGGCCATTGAAATGTGTTCTAACTTCAGTGGTATCTTGTCTTCTCTTGCCTGATTTATTCATGCAACAGACAGGTCTCACATAATGAATATACACACTTTAGAGTCACAATGGAAAGAAAAGACACAAAGATCAAATATTCTCTGGGTAGCAAAAAGCAGAGAGAGGAAGAAAAGGGCTAAGAGAAAGAAAGACAGTAGGAGAGGTGAGCATGAAAGTATGATTTTAACAGTGGGGTGAAATGAGAAGAGGATGAAAAGACATTTAAGAAGACAGGACAGATAAGCAAATGTAGGGGGAAAGCTGATCATATTGACTGGAGAATTTACTCTGGTGATGGTGGATGAGGTTTGACAGACAGGTTGAAATGAGAGGGTAGAATGTTCTGGAATCCCAGACCACACTGTAAGCTTGCTTAGATAGACAATGGGGAGGTGTCAATGATTTCCAAGCAAGAAAGATCTTCATTCCTTCAAGAAATGGAGCAATTTCCCTTTATTCCTTGAAAGAATATCTTCATTTCGTGAAGGGGATGTGGGCAGGTGAAAGGAGTCAAAGCAGTAACGGTGACTAGGAAGTTACTGCGAGTCTAGTAATGAGTTCTTTCTAGACCTGGGATGGTGGCAGTGGGAACAGAGAGAAAGGATGGATAGCTAAGTAATCTTTAAGTATATCTGACTGACAGAGAAGTGACATAATCTCCCTCCATTATGGAGAGCCACTCTAAAGCTAGTAAGTATTGCCGATTGTCATTTGAGAACACAAAGTACATAAAGAGGTATAATTTAACTCTCACAGTGGCTAAGGAAGGGGGTCTTTAGACCTTGCATAACTCTATATCCATTTCAAAAGCATACCTTTCCATCAGAGGAGAAAAAAAGTGACAACTGTGTTCGAACCTGTCTTCACAAGAAACTACCCACTGTGAAAACTGCTCACACAAGTGGGAGGAAAAGGTCAAATTAGAAAGTTATCACTTATAACATTTCATCCGGCACTCACGCAGAACAATTTATGCTTTGCCGAGTCCTTTCCTACTTATTTTCACATTTGCCCTAGAGCAGTGCATGAGGTATTAAGAATAGGAATTACTGGCCCCATTTTACAGAAGAGAGCTTAGCTGCTTGCCTGTGGCCAGAAGCTTATCAGGGGCAGCCTTCTAATTCTAGGTTTAGGATTCTTACCAATATACCTTGACAGCTCATTGCTACTTGGTCTAGTTAAAAGCAAGTAGTCAGAACTTCTTTGTTGCCAAGTATGAAGTGAGTCAATTTTTGACGCATAGTGACCTCATATAACTGAATAAAGTTGTCCATAGCATTTTCTAGGTTGCAATCTTGACCGGAGCAGAGGATCCAGTCTTTCTCCAACTCAGTAGCATAAAGCAACCTTAAACTCATTGGCTTTGAGTTGGAACCAATTCAAAGCTGACTCTCCATTGGATTTCTGCACAGGAAGACACTGTCTTCCGTCGATGCAGTTGCCAGTGGACAGTTCAAACTGGTGAATCAGAATAGCTGGGTGGACTCAAACTGCCATTCTTTTGGTTAGTAGCTAAACACTTAACTGTTGTGCCACCAGGACACCTCAAACTGAACTTTAGAGGATTTAAAACAGATGCAGGTTGGATAAGATATGGAGGCAGAGAAAACACTGCCAGAGGTAAAGGCTGCCCAGAAAATGTCCTCCACAGAAAGAAACAAAAGCCAGAGCCCAGATGGGAATTCTATCACTGCTCTGGGCTTTCGGATTGTTTATTTTTATTTCTTGGCTCCAACCTTTCATTCCTGTCCCATCTCTTCTTGTCTCTCCTCCTCTTCTCTCATTCTTCTCCTGGCAGACACAGTACTATCTGCGCACACACACGCCTCAGCGTCTACCACCACCATCTAAAAATACATCTCACAAGCTTAGTCTCCTGCAGGTGGCACGGTTTAAAACTGATACCAAACAAACATCTCACATCACGAGCCACCTTTGATTCATTTACCCTGCATATTAAAGACCCAGCAATGAAATAACCACAGTTCACAGAGGAAAAAAATTAATGCAAAATGATAGACTCTTTCAAGTGGCATTCTCCAGCCCAGTGTTTGTGGCAGGCTTATGCAATCAGACATAATTGTCTGCACATGTTTGGTTACATTATTTCAGAAATGACTCCCAGCCCACCAGAGGATGTCAGAGGGGTCAGTGCTGACCCCCTAAAATCTGAGTGCTGCTCTCTTCTGAGGTGACCAAATAAGAAAAGAAGATGCCAAGCAGCAGAACTGTCATTGGCCCCAGCGAAAGGTCATTTATTACCCACACAGGCCTTCCCCCTCCTTCAGGCTGCTTAGCTGAGAATGTTTATGCTTCTGTCCTAAGACTAGAGACTTCCCTCACATTCCCCTCTTTTAGACATGCAAAGAGTTTTCTCTGGAAAACTCTATCCCAGACTTAAAAAATAGTCATGAAATGCATATGTGTGTACGTGCTTGAACATGTATACACAAATACAGAGCAGTTTTCATTCTTTTGGGAACCATTTTTGGGAATGTACTTCCTCACAAGCCCGTATATTTCCTTCCGTGTGGGCTCTGACAAATCAACTATTGACACAGTAATAGTAATTAATAGTATAAAGACAGTAATGATCATTAGTGTTATTAGTAAGAGATCGTAGTATCCTTCCTGAAAAACTACATGATTGTCTAGTGTATGCTTAACAAGGTGAACTTTGGTAGGCCTGCTTAAACCCTAGAAAAGATCGTAATGAATATGCTACAAACTCAAGGGCAACTGCCTGAAGAAGGTATAAAGTAAGGAATTTCTGAAAGGAAGGAGGTCATAAATATTACCAAGACCCATCACAACCTGTACCTAACTCTCTTTCAAAAGCCCTGCTAGTCAAACTATGCTTAACCACTTCCAACGGTGGAGAATTCCTGATTTCCTGTCTCTTTTTGAACAATTCTGACTGAAATGGCTCATTCATGCTGAAGTGAAATGTGTTTCTCCATGTCTCTATCTTACTGCTCCCATCCTGCTTTTTTCTGGATGAATTGAATCTCCCTCACAGATGACAGTCAGCCAGCATATATGAAACTATCATGCACCACCAAAATCATCCTTTTTGTGGGCCAGGATTTCTTAATTCTTCCAACCACTCTTCATATGGCAAAACAGCCAGTCTTCTCTTGATATTTCTAGGCTAGTCATGATCATGTATGACATCGTCAACACCAAGTTGAAGGGGTCAACAAGTCTCTCAGTGCAGAAACCATAGTTTAATTAGTATAGATAAGGATTGTGGCATATTAATAAATCATGCCCTAATTTCCTTTCCTCCTCTGTTTAATACACATATACACACAATCACCATCAACCAATCATAGCTTTCTTCACTAGTTTTGAGCCAATAGTTCTGCTAGAGCCTCTGGTGACCTCTAAAAGCCCAGAAAATCACCCCTAATGTAAAGAACAGCCTTCTTTCCCATGCTGCCCTCTTGTCCCCGCTTGCTGTCACCGCTGCTGAGATAGTGGACGATTGATCTGAGAAATCAAGTTAGATTGCTGTCCCAAATCTACACTCGGTTCCCCTTGTGTCTGTCTGATCGATTTCACTCTGTGCGACATAGCTTGTCGCTATGAATTTTCATGCTAGTCAGGAGCCGCCAGCGCACCCAAGAACAAGTAGAAGATGGTCTGCACCCCTCCCCATTCCTTCGCTGTACTCAGGAGCTGAGCTATTTTTGTTGTTGTTGTCTTTAGAGACATTGGAGAAAGGTTGCTTTTTGGGTTTAAGGCCACAGATTGGATGCAATGGCTTTTGGCTACTGGTTTTCCTCCCCAAGTTCCCAGGTCCCAGCTTGTAATGACACTTCCTTCCGCTGTTGTACTAGGTGTCACCTGTTTAGCAGCTCCTCTCAGCTGCGTGCATGTGGCCGCAGGTGCCATGCAAACACTGATCGTGGCTGACAGCCCTAGACGCCAGCTGCCTGCATGAAGCCTGCCCACTTGCCACGCTGTGCTGTGGGTAGAATGGTGCCGATGGCATGACCAATACAGACACGAGAAACTAGGTGACCGGACAGCTAAGGCAAGTCCTACTAAGTGGCATTCCGAGCCCTTTGGCTTTAAAATAATTGGGAGTGATAGAATAAAAACAAAGGGGAGGGGTTAGCCTTGTTTTCTTACACTGATGCCCTGCGGACTGTACATCTGACTGGCTGCGAGTCCGTCACTGTATCCTCCTGTCTGGCTGATAACATGGCGAAGGGTATCCACCTAGACAAATGAACAACAGAGAAGAAATTAGTCACAGAGATGCAGGGGAAGGGAGGCAGATCATCATCATATTGAGTACCACTTGGACACGCCAAATGAATATAATCTTTTGGAGAAGTTCTCCCTGAAGAAGGGTCCATGAGCAGGAGGCTGAGCCCTCCCTATGTGCCAAATCCATGCGCAGGTTGGAGTAAGCAGAAGGTAAAATAAAGCTGGGATTTTCAGCAACGAAACAAATCTAATAATGGTGCAGAAGCCAGTAGGGCCTGGTTTGAGAAGAGGGGGATTTAGAAGAGGCTATGAAGAAATTTTCCCTTCTGCTTCTTTTTCTTCCCAATAGGTCACCCTATGGCTTCTCCAGTGCTGAGCATCCTTTAAATGTCACTGCTCTATTTAGATCATGCTTGGGCAGCACAGAGGGCATGGTATGTGGCTGAAGATCCTGTTTTGAGAGGAATTAAATGAGGACCATTTGTATGACTGCTTGACCAAAGCCTACCCATATCACTTCAAACATATTTCCTGGCAATGTTTCCTAAGCAAGGGATGGTACATTGACCAGTTGGTCTGTTCCAGGCAGGTAATGCTTCCTGTTCCATACGTAGCGTGGACTATTGGATTGATGTGGCTCCGAACTTCCCTAATCATTCTGACATAGAGCAGAGCACCCTGCCCCCTCCCATCATACTTCCTGCAGAGATGGAGGCGTGTTGAAGGGGATGAGGTGTGTTGGAGGGGATCCACCTTATGAAGAGTAATGAGGCTTCATACCTTCTGACTTGAGTTTTTATCCTCACTACAGTCTTATATTCATTACCTGGAATCCAAGTCCCCTGACTTCAAGGATAACTGAGAAGATGAGTTCAGTCAAGCTGACTATCTTCAAAGCTCTCAATTCAAACATACTATGTATATCGACTCACTCATTCCTTCCTTATTTGGCATATACGGATTGTAAGAAACCAACAAACAAGAGGGAGACTGGCAAGTGAGACTGAACTTCTTCCTTTCCCTTCAGTGAACACAGAACATACTTGCTTCACACACTTTGGCCACCTCACCTGTCCTTGCCGTTTCTCTCCCGCCTTCCTAGTATGACTGAAAAGCCAGAGCCAAATGCATTCACAAAGTGTGGACGAGATTCCCCACGACAATGGTTGTCTTTGTTTTGGTTGTTGGTAAGGTTTTGTTTCTGGATTTGATTTTATTTTCCTCTCTCTCTCTCTCTCTCTCTAGATAGGAGCAGGAAGTGCCAATAGGATTGAGGGCTCTTGGACTCTAACACATTCATCTGGCGGCACATTGGCTGGGTCCCTACCTGTGATTGCACGTTGGCTCCAACCTGGGCCCCTTGGTAAGAATCCCCATTGAGTGACTGCACGCTCATGAACAAATCTCCAGAGTTTGACATGTTAAAAGAACTGGAAGAACCTGGAAAGGAAAGAGTGAGGCACCTGAATCACAGAAAGGAAAAGGCTCCACCCCCGCGACTAACAGCCAAGAGGAGGAATGACATGCAAAGCAACCCCCCAAATAAAATTGAAAATGAAAATGACACCAACAGAGTCTGGTTAGTAGCATGAAGAACAGAGCAAGCAATAAAGGGTGCATATTGTTCATGTTATGGGAAGCCACAGCTTCCAATTGCATGTTGCCAAAAAGATTGCTTCCCACAGCAACCTAGCTGAGAAAGGGAACATTACTCTTCTTGACTTAGTCTATTTGGAATAGTGACAATCTCCAGACCCAGGATCCCTCTCTCATGCTTCAAAAATCCTAGGGTTGACCAAGGGACCGGAAGCTGAGGAATACTTGTGCTGGTCACTGTGAAGCTCAGGAGTCATTCTGATGGATTCTACATCTGCAACTGCCAAACTCATCTGCCCTTCTGTGAACAGTAACATCTTCAAGGGGAGTACTAGTGATACTGTCTCACACAAGGGACAGCCCTGTGATGTAATGAATCCATTGACAGTTTTCATTTCTGGCAAGAAGGTGGGTGCCAGAAGAGCCTCCTCGACAACTGTAAGGATATATGAGATCATCTAACCTTCCTGCGCTGCCTGTATCATGAAGGAAGATGAAACAGAATAATGACCCAGGGATTCATATGCATGCATGAAATAGAAATGCTGATATTAATAATAATCAGTGGGCCTCATGAAAGCAGTTAACCACTTGCTTTCACCTTTCAGTGAAGGAACCACAAATATCTTTCAAGTCTATCCTGGCACCACCCCTCGGTTGCCCTGTGTTAGACCTACCCTGCCTTCACCCTAAACACATGGTGGTGGAAAAGCTCAATATTAATCTGAGGTCATCGTGCAGCTCAGTGCATTAGGAAAGAAAGCTCAACGTGCAAGGTTTGGTTAAATGTGACATTAGCCTGGAAAGGAGAGATCTTAGGGACCCAGGTCAGTTCCACTCTTTGTTTCCAACCCTCGATTGCTCAAATTGCTCTGCTGCCCTCATAATAAATAGTCTGACAGCCATCATCTGTGTGGAATTGCCCATGTGATTCATGCCTCAGCTCTGACGCTTCCTTTCTTTTGTCCCAAGATGAAGATTTGAACTCTCCGAGAGAGCTGTCTTGCTCTGCTTTGAAGAGGTGCAGCTAACCAGAATGAAATTGGGTTTTGCTTTTCTCATCCCTATGGAAGTATCATGTAAACTAGCAACAGATTCTGAACTCTGTCACTCTGTGCGGTGCTCTCTTTAAGTGAGACTTTCATATTTCAAAGACAATAGCCACTCAGAGGAGCCAGATGATACACATTCAGGGGGAACCATCCTCAGTTAAGAAGGATCTCCATTGACTTTGTTCTTAGGAGATACTCATCTACCTACACAGGGCTAACTAAAACTTTTCCCGCATAGACATACATTATCCTAACTCTTCTTCTTCTGCTTTCATGGGGGAAAATACATTTGGGAGGTGGAGAAACATAAGCACCACCAAAGAACTATGGTGTCTCCATTGGTCCTCAAACACAGCCTTTCTCTTATGGTACACATTTCTTAGTTCAGCGAGTGTATCTGAAAGGAATGTGGAAAAGTTGGGTCTTCGCAAAATAGGCACACAATTTGACCAGGTGGGGCTTATTCCCAAGTAATGGAGTGAGAGTTTGACCTGAACTTCCTTCCAGTAATATGGTCCACATATTTCAAATGGCTTACACAACGTAAGGATGAGAACTACGTGTCACTGACCACATTCTTGTGAGAAGATAACACATCACACAGACCTCTATGCATTAGCTACTCCAAATCTCTCTTTTTTCCCTTTCTAAATCACAGAAATATAGCCCAAATAATAAAAGCCATTTTACAATAAGTGCTAAAACATATGGTCATAATTAGATGTCATCAGAACCGAACTTGGTCAAAATGTTGAACACAAAGTGTTTCATTCTATGTCATCAGATATTTTCTATTTATCTCCCAGTCAAAGATTATATAAACACATACACATTATACGCTTGGCAGGTAATTTATTGGAAATTAAGGCACACACACTGACGTGGGAGAAACCTCCAAAGGCTTACAGTGATGCCAAGTAGCATGGCATCTGTGGAACCATGAAGGCATAGAATGTGCCATTTACAAGATCTACACTGCAATTGACACAGATGACTTTAAAAATATATGTGCATAGATAAATTGTAAATATGTCTGGCTGCTTAGTGTACACAGAGATAAATATGCGCATATAAATGTACTTCATGTACAAATGCATTTGTATCAGAGCAGTAATTGCAGGAACAGTCCCTTGTGCTCCTGGCCGTGCTGCTTCAGCGTTTTATTGTCTCCATACACCCATGTACAACACCACCATGGCTTCTGACTCTGATAAGTATCTAGAGGCAGTGATTACTCCAAGGAATAGACCAGTTCACAAATAATATGACAATAAAGCAGATGGAAGCCCTCACAACAAATTTAAATAACGAGGGGAGGCCAGGTCCTTCATCTGGTACTGGAAGTTGAAAAGAAGCTAACAGAGAATGGAAAACCTCCTGGGAAGTGTGGAATTCCTAGGCAAATAATGAATGGGGTCTCATGAAGGTACTGTGGGATTCTCCGAGAGCTGGAAGGGTATTACCTGGTTGACCGAGAAAGTCATTCCGTCACCTCACCTGTGGGTTGTTGTAAAGTAATTACTAGAGGCATATTCCAAAATGTGCTTGTCAGTGAAAAGCCTCTGAATTTGCCTTGGGAAGGGAGGCAAGTGCCTCATTTAAGCTGCCATGTACAACCCAAGCATGTGCACAGGTAAATCGGCACTCAACTAGACAGAAAAGCAATAATGGATCTGTGGATTCAGATGCATTTACTCAGGCAAACAAGATGATGTGAGATATGTTAACACTCAGTTTTGTAAGACACTTTCCCAAAGTCACAGTACTATAAAGCACCTTTAGAAGGCATCGTGTTTGGAGGTAGGGGGGAAATAAAATAACCAATAAACCAATCACATTCTTAGTTTTTTTAAAAAAATAGAATAATCATGATAAAATCCAAACCTAGAGCAAGTTTCCTCAACTTTAGCACTACCAAAAGTTCGGGTTAGATGATTCTTGTGGTAGAAGAAGGAAATGGACATGCAGGACATTGAGGCAGATCCTGCCTTGTTCACTAGGTGCCAGGAATGGCACTTGCCCTGTTCCCAATAGGCTAAAACATGAAAACCAAAAATGCCTCCACACATTACTAAGCATTTGTGTTAGGGACAAAATAGGCCCAAGTTGAAAATTGACCTAGAAACAAAACCATGAGATTACCTTTTCTTCCTATAAAGAACTCAAAGTGTTCAAAATATGTACTCATTTTTCCTTATAAGCTTTCCTTAGAAGCAGTCACATGACGAGTTTTGGTCTAGGTTTGTTGTTGTTTTTTTTTTTTTCATTTAGAAAATGAAGCACCAAATAGGTAAGGTGACCAATTTGTTCAGCTCAGAGCACTGTTTTATTTGGAGGCTTGAAGAACCAAGCCTGAAGATAGAAGCAAAAATCTCTTACACTTGATATCCCAGGACGTTTCCTCTTTGCAGCTACCAAAATCATTGTCTTTTCTACTCAAAGTGAAACTTAAAGGAATCTTGTTTAATCGGAAGCTTCTCTAATTAATGTGCATGCCAAAGTTCTAGAATTCCAAGCTCAGGAGGTCAAGTTTCCATTTTCCACTTACAGATAAATGGGAGAAATAGAGTAGGAAAGAATATGTGATAAAACATCAATGGGATCAAAATTTTCACTTGATTTTCACAACTAAAAAGTGAAAAAATTCCTGACGATTTATAAGAAGTACTAGTCAACTTTCCTAGATGACTTTTTACCTCTCTAGTTGTATATACTATAGAATCCCCGAGTGGGGCCAATAGTTAAGGGACTTGACTACTAATGAAAAGGTTGGAAGTTCTAGTTCACCCAAAGGTGCTTAAAAGAAAGGTCTGAGGAACCACTGGGAAAGCAGTAACTACATAGTCAATGGAACACGGTTCTGCTCTGCCACGTGTGGGTTTGCCACGAGTTAGGCTGACTTGACAACAGCTGGTTTATAAGTTCTACAGGTAAACTTCTCTTAGAAAGTTACCCGAAGGATTTTAGTATGATTGATCTTCCATCAATCTAGAATAACATCAAATTTCCTATTAGGAATATAGAGCGAAATTAAATATGTACAAGGTTTTGCCACTGATTAAATAGTGTTGGAGGGAAAATGCTCATGGCTGAATTTATGGTTATTCTTGACACACCCACCCCCATTGTTTCAATGAGTTCTTTTTTTTTCTTTCTTCTTTCAAAACTTACTTTTCTCTTCTTCCTTCTATTCTACTTCCTCCACACCCAACTATGCTGACATAAAAATTAATGCATGTTAAGTGTCTCCGAATGTGTGTTAATCTGCCACAGTCCCAAGTCCCAAGTGACTTTTTTCTGAATTATGTTTGAGATAATGGAAGGCAAGGCCCATATGAACAAATAGGAATATGTACACGTGGTCTAAGCTAAACTATTAAGTACTGCTCTTCACAGAGAATCCTCTACACAGAAAAATTCATTTACAAAGGGAAGATTCCATTTGACAGAAATAAGTATTTAGAAAAGCTTCTAGTGTGTTTGTGTGGGTAACAATCCACAAACCCTCTGATTTGACACTGAGGATATAAAAGGTGTCAGGTCCCAGAATTCTGGATTTTAAAGTCCATCAGACATATTTGTCCCTATTAATTTCTTATTTAAAACTCATTATCAATTTAAAAGATTATCTAAAATTCTTTTACATTACTGAAAAGTGAGTACATTGTATAGTAAACACCCTATGTGAAAAGTTTGAACATTTTTGAGTTCTCACTGTATATAATCAATGATTTGGGTTGTGTTAAGAGCAAAAGAAAATATAGAGCAGGCCATTTATATTTCTTCCCTGTTAAGATGTTCAGCTTTTAAACTTCTAAGCTATTACACACATAGAGTATTATTATCTTTTGTCTCTCCTTGGGAAAAAGACACTAAAAGGGGGTTCCTCTGCATATTATTTCCAATAGTTAGGCACAACTGGAAAGTGTAGCTCAAATTTTCCATGATAATTTACTTTGTGCTCAGAATAGTCACATGAAGTTTAAGCCACCAGAAAAATTCCTTAGAAAACTGTAATCACAGACTGACATTCCACAAGAGTCAATGTAATTCTTAAACATGGAGTTGAGGGTTAAAATGCTTACTTTCCTTTTTTTTAAAGTGCTTTACTAAAGAATAAAAAGTTAAGGATTTGGTAATGAAGGGAGTCCACAGGGCCTTTCTAAAGAATAGTCATAAATCATCTCAAGCCATCTGTGATGCAGATATACCAGGGACAGAAAGAAGTCATTTTGATGTCTGTTTTGCATTATGATAACCTTTGCAGGAGTGTCGAGTGTGTTTTTGCTAATGCTGACAGAACTGTACTTCTTCCAAAGAGACAGGTGAAAATGTCCGCCTGGCAATGCAATTCAACTAGTGTTGCTGGGTCGGAAACGCTTAATAATTGACCAGATGGGGAAGCAGGAAATTCTCTGGTTATCGGACCTGTTGAGTTTGAGTCTTTATCAATCAACCATGATGGAAAAAGAAGGAAACAAATAAATTTAAAAAAAAAAAACAACAAAAAAAACCTCACAGAAAGCAAATACTCTTCTCACAGTAACCCAACCTGTAGGGCTGAGAAGAACAAAACTGGATTCTAGATCATCTTACCATATCCATATTTATAGAGCTCAGTCCACACTTCATGCATGATTCCATTTAGACAAAAGAAGGCTGTTATGGAACAGCCCATTCACTTGGAAAACCTTAGTGAATAAATGAATGCATCAAGAAGTTCACAGAAGACATTAGTGGGAAAAGCCCTGCACGTCTTCAACACAAAGTCACCATGCGTTAGGAAGAAAACATACACAGGCAAAAAATCCAGCTTTGGAGACAAGGATACCACAGATCCTTGGGAATGTCAGAAATTAGAATTTTAATTCAATTATGACCTAACATACTTAAATTTGTGACTACTGAAAGTTGGAGTCATTAATTTTTTTTGTAGCCTAACCAATGCATTCTAGTTGTTACCAACAGTGTTGGTTTTTCCTCACATACAATTTACAGAGCAACATACCTCCTTTAGCACATAAACACTAGATTTTTATTTCATGTATTTTTATATTTTATGATTTAAGGTCAATCAGAAATATATTTGAAAGTCGTGATACAATGCATATTCATTAAAGCAAATATGAAACATCATACACACTGATAGCACAACATGAAACCTGGACTGTCAACAATTTACATTAATGACAAATGACTTTGTTTACAGTTTAGAAGCACATCCACATCCACACCTCAAAGGCAATAAAATAAAATAGTGAGTAGAGGGGAAAAGTCAGCAAAATAAAAGAATAAAGACTATTTTATATGTCTGTGCATTTGTGTGTATAGTCATGGCCTGGATTTATAGACTAGAACAGTCTAGTGAGATATTTACTGGAAGAACGAAAGCCCCATATAGAACGTATGCTAGCAGGTAACCCAGACATTATATGATAGAAATGGCAAAAATGATGAGGACATACATTTTACATTAAACAGACCTAGTGACAGAATCTCAAAGAACTATCTCTGAGGGTGCAATCTTGCTTATTTATTAGCACCGTTGAAAGCAGAATTCAGAGGTTCCCTCCTCAATACTAATTTGCTTCCATCTTAAATTGATAGACTATATTATTGTACAAATCACAGAACACAGTGATCTTTGGAAATGAAATAGCAAATTTCAAAATGGTATCAACAACAACAATAGGACAATAATCAAATAGATAAAGAAACCAATCAAAACCCAAGAATGGAAAGAAAATACCAGGGTATAAAAATGAGGAATAAACCCTCCCCCCAAATCAAAGAAAAAACTAACCAGCTGAGTTGGGAGTTGAGGGTGAGTTAGCTTGGCTTCCATGGGCTGACACATTGGTAGCAGTGACAGCCGTTTTGGCAGCATAAATATTGGCTTCCTCTTGAAATTTACCTATGTTCTTCTTGTACCGGATTCGCTTATTTCCAAACCAGTTTGATACCTAGAGAAGTTTAAGAAAAATTGAGAATGTTAAGACAGCATCATCCCTCACGAATTTTGCATAGGGCAAGGCATGGAAGAATTTTATGGAAAGATTATGGAGGTTGGTTAAACAATTAACACATTTGAATTAAGAGCTATGAGAGCAGCATCTGCAGGAAGTAGCGTTCTCTTGTTCAACATAACCAAAATTTAGTGAACTCATTTGACAACATTCTTTTTTCCTGCAAAGGATATTGCTGTTGTTGTGTGGCACTGAGTCAGAATTGATGCACAGCTGACTCTCTAGCAGGTATTCAGAGTCAGTAAATTGCACAGGAGGAGATTTCCTGTCCTACTCCCACGGAGCAGTTGGTGGATTTGAACCATATGCCTTTGAGATTTCAGTGAAGTCTTGCCACTAGGCCAGACTTCTTTAAACGAGACAAATTCATTGTTGCCATGTGGATTCTGCATCATAGAAGGCTTAGAGGATAGAGTAGAACTGCCCCATAGGGTTTTGCAAGCTGTAGTCTTTACAGGGCAGAACTCAAGTGGCATAGTCTATAGCAAGTTTTGCTTCTACTACCTGAAAGGCTGCATATGTCACAAAGTTTGAATCCACCAGTTGCTGTGTGGAAAAAGATGAGCAGTGTCCCCTTGTTATGATTTGCAGACTTGGAAACCCAATGAAGCATAACTAGGAGTTAGAACCGACTCCACAGCAATGAGCTTTGAATCTTTGCAGTCTCAGACTGTCATATTTTTCTCCCTCATTTAAATGACAGCTTTCTTAATTTAGAGAATGTATTTTAAATTTGTTTAGTTCCTTGCACATTTAACTCTAAAATAAATAAAACATTTCAGGGAAAAATGCCATTCCCATTATTCTTCTTTAAGAAAAGAAACTTTGGGCAAGAAAAATGTCCATTGAAATCAGTATAAACATATGATATGATGGAATAATTCCAAATTTTCAGGAGTTAAATACCTTTAACATAGACTTAGATGTTCAGCTGTATAATATTATAGACCTTAAGATCAATACAATTCAATCCATCAAAATTTTCATGTATCTTGTGCAAAACTTAGTGTTATCTACATAAGGAAAAACTGAAACATGCAAAGATTACTCTTTTGAATGCTAAACTCACTGAACAAAATCAACTTAATTTACTTTCCTTCAGTAATTTATTTCCTTCATGTGGCTCACAGCAGTTGCCCTGGCTGGATTCTGTGCCCCTGTACCATTTGGTCTAAAACCTCTGCCAGACAATAGTGGAGATGCTGTTAAAGTAAAATTTAACCTCCACCACCTATTCCTTCCTGGGGAGGGAAATGTCATACTTCATATTCCAGGTGTGATTCCAAACTAAAATGTTGTGGATTTTATATAACTACAAAACAAATGATGAGTTTTCTGAGAAAAGAGGAAGTTACTAACATGCATGCCATAACTAACATATAATTTCTATTTATCCCTTAAAAATGGCAGCTAGAGAAAATTATGGCAAAACTAGATTGTTCTGTCACCAATTCTACATAAACTATCTCAGAAAATAGAAAAAGATGGAGTTCTCCCAGATTCAGTCTATGAAGCAAACATATCCTTGATACTAAAGCCAGGTAAAGATACCACTAAAAGAGAAAACTATAGGCCAATTTCTCTCATGAATATAGATGCAAAAATCCTGAATAAAATCCTGGCCAATAGAATCCAACAATACATCAGAAAAAGAATTCACTGTGACTAAGTGGATTTCATAATAGGTGTGCAAGGATGGTTCAACATAAGAAAAACAATCAGTGCAATATATCGCATTAAAAAAGAAAAGAACAAGAAGTACAATCAATTGATGCAGAAAATGCCTTTGACAAAATCCAACACCCTTTCCTGATTATAACACTCAACAAAATAGGAATAGAGGGGAATTTCCTCAACATAGTAAAAAAGTATATATGCAAACCCGAGAGTCAATATTGTTCTCAATGGAGAGAGGTTAAATGAATTCCCTTTGAGAACAGGAATCACCTCTCCTATTCAATATTGTACTAGAAATCTTAGTGATAGCAATAAGACAAGAGAAGGAAATAAGAGGTAACCAACTTGGCAAAGAGGATGTACAATTATCTCTATAAACAGATGATATGATAATATACTTGGAAAACCCTAAAGACTCAGCAAAAAAACTACTGGACATAGTTGACCAATTCAGCAAAGTGGCAGGATACAAGATCAACACACAAAAATCAACTGGATTTCTCTACAGGGACAAAGAGAAACAGAACTGGAGCTTAGAAAAACAATGCCCTTCACAACTGCTAATCACAAGATTAAATACCTGGGGGTAAATCTAACCAGAAACACAAAGGATCTCTTCTAAGAAAATCACAAAACATTACTACAAGAAACAAAAAGAGACCTGGAGAAATGGAAGAATATACTTTGCTCATGGATAGGAAGACTCAATATTGTGAAAATGACAATCCTACCAAGGGCAATCTACATGTTCAATGCAATCCTAAAACAAATACCAATTCTATTCTTCAAGAAGATGGAAAAGACAATCTCTAATTTTATTTGGAATGGAAAGAGACCCTGCATAAGAAAAAACACTCCTTAAAAGAGAAACAAGGTAGGAGGCATCTCACTCTCTGATTTCAAATCCTACTACACTGTCATGGTGGTCAAGACAGCATAGTACTGGTACAATGACAAACACATAGATCAAAGGAATGGAGTTGAGAATCCAGAAATCAGCCCATCTACCAATGGTCAACTGATTTTTGACAAGGAGATGAAATCAGTTAAGTGGGGAAACAACAACCTTTTTAACAAATGATGTTGGTGAAATTGGAAAACTATCTTCAGAAAAGTCAAGCAAGACCTACATTTCACACCATACACAAAATCCAACTCAAAGTGGATCAAGGACCTAGGACTAAAACCAAGGACTATAAACTTGGTTAGAGAAAAGCTTGGAAGAACCCTAGAAGCACTAATCCACAACATGAACAGTCTTCCAACCATCCTGAAAAACTACAACTAGGAGAGGATAAAATAGATGAATGAGACCTTTTAAGAATCAAATCCCTATGCACATCCAAAAACTTCTCCAACAAGGTGAAACATGAAGCCACAGACTGGGAAAAAATATTTGGTAATGACATGTCTGATAAGAGACTTACATCTAGAATTTATAGAATACTTGAGTGCCACAACAAGATAAAGGTAAACAACCCAGTTAAAAAAATGGGCACAAGATATGAACAGATGCTTCACCAAAGAAGACATTCAGATAGCGAACAAACACATGAAGAAATGTTCAAAATCCCTAGCTCTAAGAGAGATGCAAATGAAAACAGCTATAAGATATCATTTTACCCCAGGAAGAATAGCAAAACTCAACAAAGCAGCAAACAACAAATGTTGGCAAGGTTGTGGAGAAACTGGAACTCTTAATCATTGTTGGTGGGAGTGTAAAATGGTGTAACCACTACGGAAGTCAGTATGGTGCTTTCTCAAAAAATTGCAAATAGAAATACCATTTGATCCAGCAATTCCACTGCTGGGATTATAACCTAAAGAAACCAGAACTTCCACCCAAACACATAAATGCACACTCATGTTTTTTGCTGCTTTGTTCACAAGAGCAAAGAGTTGAAAGCAATCCAAGTGCCCATCAACAAACAAATGGATAAAGAAGCTGTGGTATATTCCCACAATGGAATATTATGCAGCACTGAAAAACAAAGAACTCATGAAATATTATACAAAATATGTGACCCTGGAGGACATTATGCTGAGTGAACTATCTCAGTCACAAAAAGACAAATACTGCATAGTGCCACTGTTATAAAACAGGACAGAAATGGGGATTAGGGGGAAATTAAGAAAAGAGGGGATAAGCAATGTATATGACATTGAAACAGATGAGGGAGAACACCATATAAAAGGAATATGTAATTAGGTATTATTGGCATGACAAGAGTCCAGAATAAGAGCTGCATTGTGCTGGGGGAACTGTATAACAATAAAATATTTTTCCCCCCAAAGGAAAAAGCAAACTGGGTGGAGGAAAATGTGCAACAACAAATGAATAGAAATCCAAGTTCTCTATAAACTTTCATTAAAATGTCAATAAAAAAAGAAGGAAATCAAAACAAAACAAAACCCCAAAACACTAACTTGAAGGCAGTAACCAGTGCATATTCTCATGGATATTCTGATTAAATGTCACTTCTGGAGTGGACTTTAAGAATGGCCTAAAGAACCAAACCAAAACAAAAAACACACCAACAAACACACAAAAACCAACAAAACACAAACTAGACTGTTTTTATCATATATTGTCATTGTAGAGTAGAAATTAGAGTAGAAACACTGGGTTTCAGTGGTTGTAAATCCTGTGCAAGAAGACTGCCCATTTTTCTCCCTCGAAACAGCTAGTGGCTTCCAACCATCGAGGCACAGCCTTTGGATTAGCAGTGCAACGTCTTAAGGACTAGGCCACTAGAGCTTCCAGTAAATGCAGTGTTTGTTGTTATGTGCTGGTGAGTCAGAACTGACTTACAGGTGTCTGTTCAGTGGGTTTTCAGGGGCTGTAAATTGCAGAGAGAGTGCTCAACCTTCTCCAGAGGAGTAGCTCGTAAATTAGAGCTGCATGCCTTTGGGATTACAGTGCCACTCTTTATCTCTTGGCCAGTTAAAATGTATTATAAGGCTAGCCATCGGAAATTTACATAATTTATAATATAATATAAATACCATGTTTTTGTTATTTAAAAATAAAACTATATTTGTAAACGAGATAAAAAGAAAACTTAGGGGAGCTCTGGTGGCCTAGTGGCAAGGAGCTGCAACTACAATCCCAGAGGCACACGGTTCGAATCCCCCAGATGCTCTGCCGGGGAAGGAGGGACAATCTCCTCCTGTACCAGTCAGATCTGATTTGACAGTACAATCACACAAGAAAAAAAAAAGGAAGAAAACTCAATAATACTTTATTTACTATATATCATTGGCTATAATACTTTACTTAATATATTGTTGGTTATAATACTTTTTATTTTATATATTATTTATATTGTTGTTATAATACTTTACTTGTTTTTATTAAGTGCTATTGAGTCGTTGATAACTCATAGCTACCCTATGAAATATATTGTTACTCATAGGAAAAAAAGTTACATAGGAGGAGGAACAAATTTTGAAATGGACTACTAGGGTATATTTAAGCATCACTGGACGTCTAATTTTATGTAAAAATTCTTCTTTCTTTTCATATAAATTTCACCAATTATGCTAAGCATTCACAATTATAGTTGATTTTTGCTTTATATGAAGCGATCTGCTGGCTTGCTCTGGGGCTGTGCTGCCAACACAAAGGTGGGGCCTCTCTGGCAGTTTGAACCCACCAACTAATCCATGTGAGAGAGATGAGTGGTCTCCTCCTGTGCCATTTACAATCTTAGAAAACCTGCCAAAGTTATGAGTTAATTCTGACTCAATGGCAATGCACTTTGAGTGTGAGTTTTAATCTACATATAGTATAGGAAGAATGGGGGGGGGAAAGCAGGGAGATTTTTGTGACATGAACTAGATGGGCTGGAAAAAGAGAAAAGATAAAAGTAAATCGGTGGTGGCAGGGTGTGTTACATGTTGTGCTGTTACCAGGAAGGTTTGAATTTACCTGCTGCTAAGAAGGAGAGAAATAGTCTCCTCCCATAAATATTTACAACTGTTGAAACCAGAGGACTTAGAATCCACTCAAAGGCAGTGGGATTTAAGTAAGATAGAAAATACTGGAGATTAAGCAGCTATGTGTGACAAAATGAAAAGGGAGATGGGGAGGGCTCATATTGTAGGAATGATTCTCTTGTTAAGTGAGAAGACGAGGCAGGAAAGATGATAGTCAGTTCAGGTGCTTCCCAGGTCATCCACTAGGGGATATCACGTGTCCTGAACAGTGTACAGAAGAAGTCTTCTCATAAGAATACTGTCTATTGAACTAAGAGAATATTTGGTGGCAGACTCTGGACATACACATATGGTTAAGTCTGGGGCCTGAAATATAGGAGAAGTAATATATTTTGTGAACAAAAATTTACTCACATTTTGTTCATTCTATGTGTGAAGAGCCCGCGTGAACAGAAAGAATCGAGTACAGTCTAGTAGCTGATAAATTGAATAAGTCTGGTGCTTAGATAAAGAGAGTGAGATTGAAAATGAGAGAGAGAGAGAGATGTAGATATATAAAAAAAGATCTATTTGTAGCTGTGAGAGTAAAGAGAGAGCTTACAGCTTGTTAAAGAAAAAGATTCCTAGCGTTCACCTCAGAGATTCTGATTCAGAACTGGGATGAGGTCAAAACCTCTCTATGTTTGTTACCAGTTTCCAGGTGAGGTGGATGCTGTTGTCTGTGGATGATACCCCCAAGGGCATTAGTGTGGAGGAAAGGTTCCTTGGAAATCATGTAAGGGGAAGATCAAGAGGTAGATTTCAGATGAATTTTGGTGTACAATAAGCATAGTTCTGTTTTGAATTAGGAGAGGAATCAATAGCTTTTAGTACATTTCAAAAGAATCCAAGAATGAGATAAAAAAAAAAAAAGCTTAAAAACCATTGACAACAACACAAAGAGAGCTAAGGAATGAATAATGGCTTAAGAGTTGTTGTTGTCAGGTGTCATCCAGTCAACTACACTTGTGAACAATAGATTGAACTGTCTTCTTGCACCATCCTCAAGCTCTCCGCCACACTCAAGCCCACTGCTGAAGTCATTGCATAGAGCCTTCTAACTTGAGAAGTTCATTTTTTTGGTACTATCCTCAAGACAATTCTAACATAATTCAGAGGACTTTTGAGAGCCTGTTATTTCAGAAGTGGATGGTCAGCCCTGCTTCTTAGTCCAGAAGTTCCATTGGGGCCTCTACTGATATTTCCAGTAGCAAAGCTTCCAGCATCACAGCAACAAACAAGCCAACACAGAAAAACATAGCGGAGGCAGAGTAACAGGTGGTGCAGTGGTTAAGAACTCCGGTAGTAATAAAAAGAGGTCAATGGTTTAAACTCACCAGTCACACTCTGTGGGAGAGAAAGATGTACCAATCTTTTCTCATCAAGATTTCTAGCTTTGGAAACCTGAGACAGTTTTGTTCCATGCTACAAGATCACTCTGTGTATGTGTTCAAAACAACAGAAGGATTCAAAGTGGTTCAGTAGTTCAGAAAGTATTTGGCCACTGAGGAACCCACCAGCTACTCTGAGAATGACGATGTGGCAATCTGATTCCATAAAGGCAAGTGTGCAGTTTTACAAAGTTTAAAAGATAAGCTACAAACCTTACAACTTCGGAAACCAGTAGAGGCAGTCTTTCCCTATCGTACAGGGCTGCTATGAATCAGAATGGTAAGAGGAGGACTAAGAGACCCTCAAAGAAGATCGAGCAAGAGTAGCCTAAAGATGGAGAGAAAGATCCAGGAAAAGTAGTGGCAAGGAAGCCGAACTAAGAGGATTTCAAGGAGGGGTGATGATTAACAACAACAAAAAATGATGAGGAAAATACTGCCCAAAGGAAGCCACCTGCTTTGGGAACTATGGAGAGACTGAACACATTGTATTCAAATAAACTACATAGACAGTTGAAGCAAATGAGATCCAAAGAGTGAGTTTCCTAAAATAGGACAGCTTCTTTTTGGCTCAAGTAAGGTCTTTGTAAAATTTCTGCTATCATCTAATGTTCTCCTTTGGGACATTCTGGATCATAGTGGAACAATTTCGTTGCTGTTGGGAAGGAGGGTTAGGATGTGGAGGGAAGACTGGCATGGGCTTGGAGTACGTGGAAGAAAGGGAAAGGTAACACAGAAAGTAAATATTTCAACAGACAGTCTATTTGCAGATTGATTTTCCATAAAGAAGGAAGGAATGGTTGTGGAACCAGGCCAGGATTCTATTTCTTATCTAAATATAATACAGCTTTGTTTCTTCAGGCTTTCTTTTAACTTTAATAGATATTTGGAAACCAGGCAATACAGTGATTTAACTCTATTTTAATGGCAAACATATCCTGGACAGAAACTCAGTGATTTGTCAGTTAGTGGTGCCAGATTCATAAACCTGGATATATTCCTCAAATCTGCAGTAAATAGCAAAAATATCCAGAATAACCTCACACCACTCGGGGGGGGGGAAGACACAAAATAAAACCAAATAAACAAAAATCCAAAAACTACCTACAAATAAGACAAACAGAAACCCCATTCCACTTGTGTGTGTGAGAGAGTATGTGTGTACATGCAGACAAAAATGGGATTAGCACCTTGGACAAAAGTGGGCCACATGAGTTTGATCACTGAAGTTCTGCTTTCCCAGAGTTGTCAAGACTGGGTAGGACCTTCAGCTTGGCTAAAACCCCGTGGGTTGAAAAGGATTCACTTTCCCTTATTGGAAAGAATGGTTCCAAGGTTACTGTAAGATTTCCCACATCTGTTGGAAGGGCTTGGCAATCCCTTCCTCAGTTCCATGTTCTGATTAGACCGAATTCTATTTAGCTAAGCAAAGGTTGATGAGCTCAACACTTCACCGGAAGGAAGAATCAAGACTCAACCCAAGGAAGTACAGCTTCCCAACTGACACATAACAGCATCCATTTCATCTGAAACTGTTAGATGAAGTTTCTCTCCTGAATATGCTTCTTATCTCTTCCTCAGTCCTTTACTTTTAATGAAAATACCAGGACAGTTGGGGGTTTGAATATGACATAATTCTCAGGAGAATGTTTCAGGATGAATTTCTATACTATCACTACTGGATTCAATTAGAGATTTGATGAAGGTGTTTGAGTTTCAGACTGATAAGAAGCTTGGATGGATCCTTTGGGTGGACGTAATACATAAGGATGAATATTATTTAACTTTCTACTTCACATTTGTGCTGAAGACTTCAGGTCTATAAAAATTTTCAATCATGAGCCTTTTCAAGTGAACAGGAATCTGCTATTGTTATGGTTGTCTGGGAGAAGAGGGTACGCAGTGACATTTTGAGCAGCCATCCCAGGACAATCATAGTGACAGGTAAAACTTCCTACACTCCATCAGCCATAGAGTCAGCACATTAAGAGAAGACATTTAAGGCTTGTCACTGAAAAAGTTGTGTAACAAAGAGACCCACTCACTGACTTTTAAAGGCCCAGGGCTGGGCCAAAATATGGACTGAGGAATTGTCTGTGTATGAATGAACAGTCTGAAAAATGCAGCCGGCTTTCTGAGTACATCTAAAAAACCTCACCTATTTGCAGTAAGGGGGTTGCTAAATGGAAGAACCCTCTCTCTAATTTGAAGCTAAGCTTATAGTTCTCCTAGCATTATCGGTCCTACTCAAGTTTTGCCAGGCTGTTACTTGGGAATCTGCATACACAAATCATGTGCTTACCTTGCTGTTTTACGGCTTTAGCTGATGGAACTTGGAAGGCATTTGCATTCACAATGCAAGACTGTGATGATACCTTCCCCCCCACAGTTCCTCCCTGGCCAGCGTACAGGCTGCACCCATTGAGGGGCCTCTTACCTGGGAGACTGTGATGCCACACTTCTTGGCTAACTCCTCTTTGGCTTCCTCACTGGGGTAAGGGTTGCTGAGATGGGAATAGAAATATTCATTCAGGATTTCCGTAGCTTGCTTGTTGAAATTCCGTCTCTTCCGCCTTGACAAGGACAAAGAAAACAACAATGACAACGGAAAGACTTTTACCAAATAAATGTAAAAAACGAAGAGAAGAAGAACTGCTTTTGCAAGGGGAAAAAAAGTAAAGTTTCAGAACAGAAGGTCTAGCTATCAAAATCACTTTTACAAGCACTTGTCAAATATTTCATGTGCACAGTCGCGGGCCCAAACAGAAGGGTCTATTGATAGTGACATCATGGTGAAGGGCATGACATTTCAAAATGCAAGTGATCTTGGTTTTGAATCCTGCATGACTCAGGATACTTCAGCTTTCCAACTGAAAGAGATGACAGTAATTCTGACCTGCCAGGGCTGGAGTAGGGTGCAAAGAGTCTCTGTGCATGGCGAATGCTAGATAGAACACAGGTACAACAACTTTCCTTTCTGCCAGGTTCCCAGCACTGGGCCTTCAAGCTCTGCACAGCTATCAATTCAAGTGATTCCATTTTCACCACCAGTGAAGTATATAGGAGGAGTCCCATTTATCAATGGAGAAATGAGTTCAAAAGTCACTCAGCTGGTATAATTAGAGGCAAGTTATTAATTCAAGTCGGCCTGACTATAAAACACAGACTTTTTTTGTCTTTACAAATTCCCTCCTGGCAATTATACAGACACTGTACCCTAAGTTAAAAATAAGTTATTTTCTCCCTATTCTTCTCTTATTCAAATGCATGTAACATTTTAAAAAGGCAGCTGAGTAAGGGGAGGGGGGGAGGAAGCTGATGGATATTAACCCCTTGGCTGCCTGACCTCCTTCTAAAGGAAAGAAGTGGCACTTCTTAAGCATGAACAGCTGCAAAATGGTAAAAGAAAACTCCCACAGTTAGGTTTTCATTATACAGGTTGATAAAAGGAAGAAATCATTTGTTAAAGAGAACCATTTTTTCTGCCTTATTTTAAAAGGGGGGAAGAAGTGTTAATTGAAGTAATTTAAAGTGAGAATCCTTTTCTTGCCGCCTCACAGCAAAGACTTGAGGATGGCTGAGGAGAGCTGCATATAGTTCAGGCTCATTGGCAGATACCAACAGGGCCTTCATGAAAGCAGGGGTCGCCATCTTCAAATTAGCTCAATTAGCCCTTTTGCTTTTCTTGCCTTTATCAAGTGTTTCCACATGGATGTGAACAATTTCTCCGAACATCTCTGGTTATGCCAGGACATGGATCTTCCCAATTTAACCACCAGAAAGCACAGATATCTTTGCTAGGCAGGAAATTCAGCTAATATTGTATTTTCAGGGTCCCACTTGGATTAATTAGCACAATAAAGTGCCTGATTTTACCGGATGAACACCATCTGTCCATAGGTATTAACCACATCTGTCCAAATTATGCCAAGCCCAAGTCACTTTCCCAAATCATGCTGAGTTTCTGGGTCACCCAGCATCAGAAATTCGACAGATTGGATTAAAAAACCCAACTAAAACGTAGGCATGTGCTTAACACCCTTGAGTGGAATATGAGGAAGGTGGCCAAGTGGTTAATTTGGTCGCCAGGCTGGTCTTTGGACAACCTTTAACTGCTGCTTTTTTGCCTGAAGGAGATAGTTATTTCAGGGCCAGGGAGCCAGACCCTGAAGGCTCCCCTAATTGGGAGAGCCTCAGTTCATTCATTCAGCTGTTTGCATTAGCATTACAGTGTATTTTTTGGGACTCTTCCAATTGAGCTCAAAGGAAGCCTTCCTGGAACGAGCTGGTGGTGTGGGGATGGTGCAGACAGCTGTTCCAGGCCCTCTCCTTGGTTTGCTGTGCAGTCTTCCCTGGGTGGTCTCCTCTATACTGATGGACTCACTTATCATCCCTTCAGAGGACGAGGTGTCTGCAATCTTAATATCAGGACTTTTTCAGAATTTCAAGAACCCTCGTGGAAATCACACACTTCAAGCAAGCCAAGATACCTGGATGATTTGCTTTGTTGAAGTGTGATCAGCTAGTCCATCAACATTTGTGATCTCAGGCTAGTCAAGCTTTGATGGGCTGGCACCAAGGTCTTTAAGAAATATAGATGCTGGTTAGTTATTACTGGAAATATGCAATGGATGGGGTGAGGGAGTAATGGCCCAAACTTCAAATTACACAGAAGCTATTTCTTTAGAAAGACTCTTTTTCCCCCTATGTTAAATGAGGGCTTTGAACTTGACTATTTTTCCCTTCTCCCCCCTTGTTATGTACCGTGGAATCAAATCTAACTGGCACAGGAGGAGATTGCTGCTCCTCCAGCAGAGCATCTGGTGGATATGAACCATGTGCCTTTGGGATTGCAGCACAACTTCCTGTCACTAGGCCACCAGAGCTCTCTTCTTTAGAAAGACTCTTGATGGTGGAAGGCACAGACACACTGACTCCAACCTCGACAGCTCACTCCAACCTTCCTGTCTCCTGCCTGGAAGGCCTTTCTAGGATGCCATGGTCACTTTCCTAACTAGATATTTCAGATACCTTCAAACAAACATGCCTCTCAAACTAGTATCACCTTTCACTGTAAACACCTCCATATTTTACCTGGGTTATAGAATCATCTGACCATAGACATAGTGCATCATATATATATTAATGTACATTCTGGTTCATTCATTCTAATTTTTGCCTATTAAGTATGTGTCTGAACCTGGAAGTGATTCACCATGGCTACTACTTGCTTACCTTTTCTAGGTGGCAGGAACCCAAAGCAAGTTCTTAGAATTCTAGTCTTTCAAAACAATCCCTTTTTGAACCCTGAAGCCCATTTAAAAAACTGCAGAAATAAAGGTCTTATACAACAATGCTTGTTGTCTAATATACTAGACACAAGTTACATGTGGCCACCGAGCAGATGAAAACTGGCTCGTATAGGTAAGTCGTTTAATTTTTAGTTGTACTTAATTAAATTTATGCTGACAGTACAACTCTAAACTGTGTTCTCCAGAAATAGAGGTACTGTGTTCCCCAGAATCAGAGGTACTGTGTTCCCAGAAACAGAGGCTGAGCACCCCCATATGAAAGGAGAAGGAACTCAGCTCAGTGATGCCATTAGAAGCATGAACTGTATTTAAAAGCTTCCGTTTTAGATTATTACACAAGAGACAGCATTTTTCTTAAAAGAAACATTATTGTCTCTTTGAATAAAAGAAGAACTGCTTTTTCCTGTATGTTTAAATAAAACATTGAGGTGACTCAGGAGCACATGGTAGTTACCACAATTAGAGGAAAGATCCCAAAGCTAATATCATCTCTTACTTGATTTATTTTACAGAGAATCATCAGATTGATTTTCACAAATCAGTGATCCAATCATGCCACCATTTAACAATAAGGGTCATAATACACACACACACATATACTTGGTGTTGCTAAGTTGATTCTGACTCGTAGTCACTCTCTATCAGATTTCCAGAATTGAAAATCACAACAGGAGGGGACTGTCCATTTTTTCTCCCTCGAGCTTGTGGTGGATTCAAATTACCAGAGATGTACAGCCTTTGGGTTAATTGCATAACCAACTATGGACTATACCATCAGAGTTCGTGTGTGTGTGTGTGTGTGTGTGTGTGTGTGTAATAGTTATATACTGTCAGATTGGGTCTGACTCATAACTGACCCTCCAGTGGGTAAATCCAAGGGCAATCAATCTCACAGGCAAAGACTGCCTATCTTTCTCCTACAGAGGAGCTGGTAACATAACTCCTTACCACTAAGCCACTCCACGAGGGAGAGAGATGAAGTATCTTCTACTAAGATTTGCTAGTATTAGAAACCCAGGGGTGGTTGCCATGACTTGGAATGGTCACAACAGCAGTGGGTTATATAGTCACAAAGCAAATACATTAAAAAACTAATACATACTGTTATAGCTCAATTATTGTGTGCAAACTATGTTCCAGACACTATGCTAGCTTTCTGTAATCTTTTCTTTAATTCTGCTTAGAATATTTGCCCCACTTCATAGATAAGAAAACTTTGTCTTGGGAAGGATAAACCCCTAATTTCAGGTCACAAAGATAGTTAGAACTGTAGTCAGAATTTTAATCTAGGAAGTCATAAATTACTACACTTCCTCCTTGAACAGCTCTGAGTGTTGCTGCCACTTAATGGGATGAAGTCAAATCTTCACTGGAACATTTAAGGCTTCTCAGTGAATCCGTTCTATCCCTAGTGCCTCATTTACCCCCAATTCTACACATGTTCTGCATAATTTCATCCAGTCATATCATATGCTTCTCCATTCCCCAAAGACATCCATGGCTTTCATGCTCCCTTGCCTATGTATGTCTCTTTCACAACATTTGCCACATGTCTAAATCAGGGGCTTCGAACTGGTTCTTCTTAAACCAGAATTGTCTTCTATTTGTAAAACATGGATGTAGCAGAACAATAATAGGGGAAAAAACATCCAGGTCAATATATCCTGCTAGAAATGTAATCTCCTTCTTAGAAAAAAAGGAGTAATGTGTGCTTTACATAAAGACCAAATGTCTTGACAGGCAGAGTGGAAAACAATGATGCCCAGCTCTAAGAAGGTTCCTCTAAATGTGTATCCCTCTTAATAGTCCAGCAATAATTCAATATCCTATACTAGGCTTCTGAAAGAGCTCACTACATCTTCTCCAAGTCTTCCCTTCCAGCTTCTTGACCCTTAAGTTTTTTTGTCCACTTATCATTCCAATATACTTACATCTTACAAGTTTAGGTCATTACAATTTTTTATTTTTTTGGATCAGAGATAACGGAACCAGTTTGAAACTCTGGCTTAAATATGCCTTCTTCATTAAAGAGCACATTCTTCAAGGGTTGTTGTTGTGTTTCAATCATACAAGAAATTGTAATGCCTACCCTTAAGGGGCTCTGGTGGCCTAGTGGTAAGAACCTGCACTACAATCCTGAAGGCATACAGTTCAAATCCTCCAGCTGCTCTGAGGGAAAAGGATGGACAATCTCCTCTTGTGTGATTACTGCTATTGAAAACTCACTAGAGGGTCAGCTATGGATCGGCTCTGACCTAATGGTGTACAACAACAACAATCCTTAAGGTAAGTACACTTGAGGACTTAGTAGGGTTAGGAATTATGATCTCTAGTTGTTCCTTTTCCATCAATCTTGTTTCCCTGACTTCTTGTAGTCTCATTTGTGTTGCAGAGCAATTACTGACCATTTGGTCTCATATAAGTGATTTCTTTTCAAGGATTACTATAGTTTAGATGATAATATTTTTTAAGTCAATTCATTAGTTAGCTACAAGGCAACATTAAGAGTTAGTTTCCATTCAAAGTTTGAAGAGTACCTCAGGGAAATAGTTTCAGAGACTCTTCTAGGCTTAACCATCACTGCATCAGGACTGTTTCCCCTTTTTGTGAATTTGATGTTCTTTTGCTCCACATGTTTGAGTTTTTTTTCTCTCTCATTGCATCAGGTTACATTTATTATTGCCCTGATTAGAATGGCTGACAGGGGTAACCAGGCACCAATCAGTTCTGAGCAACACCCAGTTTTATGTTTTAATGTAAGAGTGTCTGTCTGAGGCCGGGGGTGGGGCAAAAGCATCTGGTCTTACCCAAGATAATGAGGAGTTCTGGTGGCACAATAGTTAAAGTGATCAGCTGTTGTTATGTGCTGTCAAGTCGCCTGCAACCCATATTGACCCTATGTACAGTAGCCCTAACCTCTGTTCAATCCTGTGCCAATCTCACTGTCTCCAACACACGTACCTCCATTATCCCAGTCACTGAAGCAATCCACATCATCAAGGGTCTTCCTCTCCTGCGTTGTCCCTCCACCCTCCCAAGCAGGCCATTCCTTTCCGAGAACTGGTCCCTCTTTGCAACATGTCCAAAGTATGTCAAATGAAGCTTTAGAATCCTTGCCTCCAAGGACTAGCCTGCTTTAACACTCCTCCGGACAAACTTGTTCATTTTCTTAGCAGTCTATGAGAGTCAATACTCTTTTCCAACACCACAGCTCAAAGGCATCAATTTTCCTATCATCCTTAGTCACTGTCCAGTTTTCTGAAGCATAGCAAGTCATTTCAAAGACCATGGCCTGTATCAAGTACACGTTAATCTCCAGACTGACATCACTGCTCTTCAGTACTTTGGAGAGTTCTCTAATAGCAGACTTTCCCATCACAATATGTCTTTTAATTCCCTTGCTGCTGGTGCCAGAGTGTTGATTGTGGAGCCAAGCAAACTAAAGCTGTTAACAATTTCAATCTCTTCACCATCTATGATGATGCTGCCAATCAGCCCAATGGTGAGAATATTTGTTTTCTTGATATTGAGCTACAATCCATAGTGAAGGCTGCAGTCCTTGACCTTGTGCAGCAAGCACTTCAGGTCCTCCTCAGTTTCAGCAAGCAGGGTTGTGTCATCTGCATAATGCAGATTGTTGATGAGTCTTCCTCCAATCCTGATGCCACATTTCTCCTCATAGAGCCCGGCCTTCTGGATAATCTGTTCTGCATATAGATTGAAAAGCTATGGAGATAAGATACATCCCTGATGTACACCCTTTCCAATTTTGAACTATGCAGTGTTTCCTTGCTCTGTTCTGATGACAGCCTCCTGGCCCAAGTACAGGCTTTGCATTAGCACAATCAAGTGTTCTGGGATTTACATTCTTCTCAGAGTCAGCCACAGTTTATTATCAATTGGATCCAAAAATAAGTTTGATTGCAATGCCAGTTTGAGTAGACCTAACATCCCAAGATGTGCCTTTTTTTCTTGCATTACACTCTGGCTTTTGCTGACTGAGTTCACATTAGCCCCTTTCCTAGGGCTCAGTGTGGGGATATGTTTCTCATCATCTATTTATATTCCTATTGCTTTCTTTAGAAAAATTTTAGAAGAAAACAGGTTAAACATATTCCTTTAAAATCATTAAGAGTCTTGATAAACTATTATTCTCTCTCCTTCACCTAAGAAAGAACACATTTACAGTGCTAGTTTACAGACTTATACAGCTTGGTTGATAGCTGGGGATAATTAATGTTGAATGAATAAATGAATTTTTTTTTTAAAGTAAGATTTTTCTAACACCATTAAGGCAGTATAAGGAAGAGGGTATAAATCTAACTTGCCTGAGATGAAGCTGTTCCAAGTACTCAGAGACAGCATGCTACAGGTACCATTCTAAATAGTCTGCAAGACTCCTGTCTCCTGAAATACATGTCTTATGTGGTCCCCTTCCCTGATGACTATGAGTAGAACCTGTAGATATGACATCACTCTTGTGATTAAATATCAGTTGACATTAAATTCATCAAACAGAAGGTTGCACTAAAGCTTTAACAAGATTGTCTAATGAGCTTGTTTGAACTTGCCTCAAAAAAGGGTTAGCCTTTAGACCTCATTCCTCCAATCACAGAGAAGTTTATTCTCCCACCAACCAGAGTGAGCTTGAAAGGGGTCTCTGAGCCACAGTCAAGACACAAGCCAAGTCAAGACACAGCCTCACACAACACCACACCTTGATTTCATCTTTTCAAAACTAGGGCAGAGAAGAAGCCCTCCAGAGCTCAGACACAACCCACAGAAACTAGAACGCATTTGTGCTGTTTCAGTGGGCTAAATTTGTGGTAATTTGTTGCACAGGAATAAATAGCTCTATAAACCTGGTACTAAATAAAGTCTCTCTTTTCCTTTATTGTAGTTATGGTGGAACTATGGTTAAGGCATTCAGCTGCTAACCAAAAGGCTGGTGGTTCAAACCCACAAGCTGCTTCACAGGAGACAGATGCAGCAGTTCTGTTAAAGATCAGCCACCTTAGCTTGCTGGCAGTGACATCTATCTCCCTTCTAGTTCTGTATTTCCAAGGAATTTTGAAGCTCTTCTCATCAGATGCATGGTTTGGAGTGGAACGTGAATGTGGGCAGTGAGTATATCTTTCTTTCTAATGTATGTTTTAGAAGTTCTTCCAATCATAGCTAAGAGGTTCTGGACAATGTGAGATCAGACAGGTTTGGTCCTAGACAGCTACAATTAAGTGAATAATGCAATAAAGCAACCATCATAATAAAGTCAACCTTGAAATAATTGAGTCACACATTTTGCTGGTTTGTTTGTCTCCCAATGCATACAAAATTATGTTTACATTATATACACATATAATCGATTAAGTGTGCAATAGTGTTATGAAAAAGTTGAATTACTGCAAGAATCACCAAAATGTGACATAGAGAGATGAAGTGAGCACTCGTTCTTGGAAAACTGAGCTGACTGACTGACTCACTTGATGTAGGGTTGCTAGAAACCTTCAATTTTGTAGAAAATGCAGCATCTGCAAAGTGTAGTAAAATGAGAGGCAAGAAAAGAGGTATGCTGATAAAATCAGCAAATCAGAAGATCTGGGCAAACAAGTGTTTATGAGTTGTGAAAGCCATTTACTCAGCTTGGGCTGGCACCTGAGGTTACAGTCATTCACTGGTACTAAATATACCCCACACTGAAAGGACAGTAAGAATCACAATAGCGTAGTTGTTTTAGTTTTGAATCTTGGCTGAGAGGCAACAACTCAAAGGTTGCAACTCAAGTAGGAAAGGGACCTTGTCTAAAAGTGACTGTCCTTCTGGTGCCAGTGGGAAGAACAATCCAGGCAAAGGCTCATGAAAACGAAAGGAAATGTGTACAAAGCTCGGCTTGTTTTGTGTCTTTTAGAGTCTTTAGAGACCTTCAACAAAGCTCAGGAGAGTTACAGCAAGAAAAAGCCCAATAACAATGATTCTGTTTCTCCCTCCTCCTGATTTCTTTCTTGAAAAGAACACAGTCTGGGCCCAACTCTTTCTTTTCTTTTTTTTTTTTTCAGGATCTGCCAACATAAATACCAACTCTGGCATTTTAAGTAGTGAGGTTTCCATGGGGATGTAAGCAGAACATGCAGAGTGGCGGCGGCTGCAGCACCAGGAAGGCCCAGACAGAGGCCACCAGTCACTTGAGGTTGGCATTGTGTGGAACAGCCTGCATTGAAGTGGCCAGGCTGGAATCAGGGTAGGAGGCACGAGAAAGGCACAGAGGGCCACTCTGTCTTCCCTCGTCCATCTCCAGGCCCACCTGGGTAATCCACTGCCTTCCAGTAGATTTTGACTCATAGAGGGAAATATATCCCAACTCCACTGTGGCCACTCTAGCCCAGAGAACTCTTCTTCATATTCCATATGACTCAAAACACATTGACTGGATGAGAATCTGGTAGAATATGCCAGTGAGTTTCAAAGAGATCTGTCTAAGGCTGTGAAGATCTCTTGTGGGACAAGTGGAGCACATGTAGGTAAAAAGAGGCTGATCTCAGAGGTGAGACAATTCAAGCAAAGCGATGCATCTCTCTGTCTGATTGAATAGAGATAAAAATCATAGAACAGGAAATGGTACACTGAGCCCTGACAAGTCTAACATTCTGATGATAAAAAACTTGAATGAAGAATATTTTCAGGAATGGAAATAATGAATTCTGACACCTATATCAGAAAGAAGGGAGCTCCTTCACAATGATCTGAAGATTACAAAAGATAGTTAGCTATGCTACCAATACATTTCCTAGATTATACATACACTTTCCTAGAGGAGGTAAGAAACATTATCACTGTGCTATAAGCTGAAAAACAGACCAGCCAGAGGATGTCATGCCTGGTGAATGGATTTTCCCAGGACAGGACGGGCCTACATGACTCACCTGGCGTCAAGGAACCGGGAACGCAGGATCATGACGGCCTCACACGTGCTCTGCTTGAGCTGCATCTGGATGGAGCTGAACTTGCGGTGGATGATGCTGACCATTCGCTCGATCTCCTTTGGGGAGATGGGCCTAGTCCGGCTTTGCTCTCGCAGGAGATTCATCACGTGGGTGGTGAACTCGTTGCATGCCTGGAATGGCAGGACAATAAACACAGGGAGATGCTAGGTCTGTGAAGGAAGGCTGGGGGGGTGGGGTGGGGGAGGGATGTGTGTTCATGCACAAATTGCTAGAGAATAGTGCAAAAATGGAAACTGGGATACTGGCGGAATTCTGTGAAATTAGACAGAGTAAATAACTGCCTAGAAGAAATGACAGCCTAGAAACTTCTTTCAGTCTTAACAAATCTAAGTTTGAGCCTGATGTAGATACTTTCAAGGAGAAAGGATATTTTAATGCTATTTTTATAAGAGTAACTCTTCTGCATAATTTTACCCAATGAAAAGCAAGACTATTATTAGTCAGTTAAAAAAAGACATCTTTTAAGACTTTTTTTTTTACCCTCACCTCTAAGTGGTGCAAATGGTGAACGTACTTGGTTGCAGATCTAAGGCCATATAGAGGCACCATGGAAGAAAAGCCTGGCGATTTTATTTTTTTTTAAATCAGCCAATTGAAAAGGCTATGGAACTTGTTCTACTGACACCACAGGAGGAATTATATTGGCAGGCACGTTTGGGATGTCAGAACCCATGAAAATTGGCTTTTTTAGCCATTGTGTTAGCTCCTATTGGGGGCAAGGTCCCCGACTACCTTAACTGAAGACCCATCGTATTACAAATCATTAACAGCTGTGGGACCAACAGAAGAGAGTGCTTTCCACACTGTTAAAAAAAGTAATGATGGTGGTGGAGAGATTGTGAAGAGACAGCACTGTGGCAAGGTATAACCAGAGGAACCCTGGAGATAAAGGCTAAAGGTTAAGGTAAAGGTTTTACCTTAAGATAGGTAAAGGTTTTGCTTGCTGGATGATTGAAGGGAAAGCAGATTGTAACTGCTCTGAGACTAAAATTTGCTGGATGATTGAAGAAACCAGAGGCACCTTACATTTGTGCTACTGGACTAAACCTAGACTCGCACTGTGAGATATTCTTTGCCTCCCTCACTATCCAACCTATTTCCCTAAAACACCCCACAAGTGTGAGTAAAGTCTTTGAGTCAAGTTGCAACGACTCATTTGTGCCAAAGATTGACAGAAATAGGTGCAGGAGCATGTGGTATGGCAGGTCTGACATATAGCTATTTGAATGGTGCTAAAGACATTACTGATGAGGAAAGGTCCCCTTTATTTAGAAGATAAAAGTCAGGCTTACCCTTCCCCATGTTGCATCAGCTCCTTTACAACACTTTACTTCCATTTTAACAGCTAAAAAAGTTTGGGGTACAGCATGCATTGCCCTGCTCACTATGTTGATGTAGCATCTTTTCATATATTCAATTTTGGGATGGATAAATTGCCAAAAGTATTCAAGTGGACTCATGGAATTAAAAGCCTTGATGATTCATCTAGGAGATGTCTCATGAATCTAGTTCTACTTCCAGCTTTAATATAAGAACTTTTTATGCCAGCCTTCTGAAGATACTTTGTGTCACTAATACAAAGGAAATCTGTCCCCAGAGACTTCAGAGAAACAGCATCAAACCATTTCTCAAAACAGTCAAGAACTCTCTTTGCAAAAATGAAAACTTCATGGTTATAAGCCAATACACCATCAGTGATGGAAATTAAACTTCGTTTCTGTGTATGTGAGTTGTTCCACCTTCTTATTGTATAGTAGGAAAAACTGGCTCAGGGAGATGGAAAGACTTTTCAAAAGGCAGCCAGCAGAAAAAAAGCCACAGAGTCAGGACCTGAACACTCAGCATCCCTGGCCTGGGGCTTCCTTATAGGGCCTGGGCTTACTGAAATTACTTCAGTTACTTTATTTAACATTTATAGCCTGGTTTCTTCAACTAGAATTCAATACAATATCTATTCACAGGTTAACTCACAGTCTTGCTGTAAAACTGTATTAGATTTGTAATGAAAAAGGCAAGATGATGCTTTGAGATTTGAAGAACCAAGGGCTCAAAGGATTCCAACTTAATATTAACAGCGCAAACATACTCATTATTGATAACGCCACTTCACTCTCACAGATTTGTCAATATACACCTATTGTTTATTTCTCTAAAGAATCTTTGGATTAAAAATGCAGCACCTGGTTTGTGCTGAGGACTGAGAAGCCTGGTTTCCATACTTGCCTTCATGAGCACTGGGAAAACCCATTCACTATTCAGCAACACATTCCTTTGTTGTTAGTTGCCTACAAAACGCTGTCCATGTCTGTACCACCATGGAGACAGTTCATGGCTGGAATTGCTGTCACCCACTGGGTTTGCTTAAGCTGATTTTCAGGAGTAAATGGCCAGGCCTTTCTTCTTAGTCTGCCTGAATCTGGAAGCTCTGATGAAATCCATTCAACATCATAGCAATGGGCAAGCCTCCACTGACAGGTGGTGGTTGCTTTTTGAGATGTATTTGCTTGAAATCTAATCCAGTCTCTCACACGGAAGACAAATATTCTCTCACTGAATTACCAATGCCTTACACTTATAAGAATAGCTTTAACCATTCCTAATCTTTTTGCAGAATATGGGTGCAAGGTTCTGACCTGTTGCTCATAGGCTACTGGATATAACACATAACAATAATAATCCTTTAGCAGAAGGTCCCTGGTGATACACTGCCAAGAACTGGACTACTAACTACAAAGTTGGTAGTTCAAACCCACCTGAGGCTCCATGCGGAAAAGACTTAACTATCAGTTCTTATGAAGATTACAGCCTTGAAAACCCCATACTCTGTGGCATGGGGTTACTACAAGATGGAATCAACTCTATAGTACCTGACAGTAACAACAACAACAACATTAAAGGGTAATAATAACCCTGCAACTCTGAGGTGACATGAAGATCCAACAAGTCACTTCCTTGGAAATATCAACATTGATGGGATTCAGATACCGTCTCTGGGAAATACATTTTTTTAATTGAGAGTTTAATAAAAATTTATAGAGAACTTGGATTTCCATTCATGTTGCAAATTTTTCCCTGCCAAACCCCAGTTCGCTTTTCTCTTTGAAAATGTTTTTCATTGTTGTACAACTCCCCATCCCTACCCCAGTCCACTTTACTATGCAGCTCTTACTGCTGTCATAAATAATACCTAAACATATATTCCTTTAAAGCAGTTCTTTCCCTCATCTGTTTCAATGCAGCATACATTATTTATCCCCTCTTTTCTTAGTTTCCCCTGAAACCTGATGTCAGTCCTGTATTACAACAGTGGCATTATGCAGTATTTGTCCTTTTGTGACTGAGATATTTCACTCAGTATAATGTCCTCCAGGGTAATGCATTTTGTACAATATGTCATGAGTTCTTTGTTTTTCAATGCAGCATTTTGTACAATATTTCATGAGTTCTTTGTCTTTCAATGCAGCATAGTATTGCATTGTGTGAATGTACCATAACTTCTCTATCCATTTGTTTGTTGATGGGCACTTAGGGTTGTTTCCAACTCCTTGCTATTGTGAACAAAGCCACAATAAACATGGGTGTGTATATATCTGCCTGGGCAGTTATGGTTTCTTTAGGGTATATTCCCAGTAGTGGAATTGCTGGTCAAATGGTATTTTTATTTGCAACTTTTTGAGAAAGCATCATACTGCCTTCCATAGTGGTTGTACCATTTTACACTCCCATTAACAGTGAATAAGGGTTTCAGTTTCTCCACAACCTCACCAGCATTTGTTGTTTGCTGCTCTGTTGAATTTTGCCATTCTTACTGGGAAGAGATGATATCTCATAGTTGTTTATATTTGCATCTCTCTTAGAGTTAGGGATTTTGAACATTTCTTCATTTGTTTGTTTGCCATCTGAATGTCTTCTTTGGTGAAGTGTCTGTTCATATCCTCTGCCCAATCTTGTTGTGGTGCTCGAGTATTTTATAAATTCTAGAATGTCACTACCAAATATTTTTTCCCCCAGTCTGTGGCTTCCCTTTTTACCCTGTTGGAGAAGTTTTTTGATGTGCACTGGGAAATCATTTTGTTGTGTGATTTTTAGTAAGCTAGTTAACATCTCTGTACCTTATTTTCTTCATCTGTGTGAGATGACAGCAGGCATCTCAAAGGGCTGTATAGTTAGACTTCAATGTTTGACTACATATGTGCCTGGCCATACAAATCTGTGACATTCTTAGTTCTTCATAATCTCTCATTGCTCTTGAGTAAAAAAAAAATACTCATAGTTGACCATCCAGTGGGTTTTCAAAGGCAGTAAACTTCACAGGAGGAGATTACTCATCTTTCTCCTGCAGCGCTACTGGGGGATTTGAACCACCTGTCTTGTTTGGCAGTGCAACTCATTTTATGCTAGGCCACTAGAGCCTTTTCCTCATAATATAGATATTTTAAAATTCCATGAGATTATCATGTTTAGGTAGGCTCCTCCAGGCCTCAGTTTCCACTCTTGATAAATCAAAGGTGACATTAAATACTGCCTTTCTATTCTGTAGGCACATGCTGAAGACAAATGAGATCGGGTTCACTATGCATTCTGCTTTCCTTGGAGAAAAGTGCTATGTAAACACAAAATATGTATTATAAGCTGCTTCCCTCCTCAATTCCAGCCTCTGTCTTGCCAATAAAGAGGAGAGGGGGAACCCTGGCAGCAAGTTGGCTGGGATTCTATGAGTTCATGGGTAGAGCACACAGAGTGCTAGGCCTGTAGCAGGCATCCCAGCTTTCTTTTGGGGAAAAGCAGTGTCCTGCTGGCCTGCAGCCTCCCCCACCTCATGGGGACTCAACAGGAGGAGGGGCTGGCTGTGAGGAGATATTGTCAAGTGTACCCGCTCTCAGCTGGGAAGCCACAGTTCTTGGCTAATAATAATGTGCTTCATTACGGTGAATAAAAATACTCACAATATCTGATGTTTATTCAAGGCATTTTATCCTGGGGCCCTTTCTGCTCTGCCATAAACAGACAGTGGAGTCGTTTCCCCTACTGCTGAGGTGGAGCAAAGCAGCTGCTAAACAGCTGCTCAGGAAGACAGCATAGCCAGCAGAGCCAGGCTCCACGTCCACTTCAGACGGACAGGATGATCCAGACTGCTCCCGGACCTCAGCTACCCTTGCCTCCTCCTCACTTCCCTTCCCTCCCCCCCAGCTGGGCACTGTGAAGATAGCTATTCACAACATACCAGTGACACAAATCCTGGGTGTTAGAAACATCGAATTAAATAGAATCCTCACAGGCTCAAAGTTTCTGTGATGGTGGGGATGCCACTGTAGGTAGGCTCCACTCTATAAAGTCACTTTTGCTAACACTAACACTCAAGCCGCCTCCATGCGCTCTGGTGGAATAATGTATGGAGTCTTGTGGGTAACTCAAGTCGATCCCCTCTGGTGGTTCAAGTCCTCCAGCAATTCCACTAAAGAAAATTGAGCAATCTCCTCCTGTCTGAATGATAGCCTCAGAAATACAAAGGAGGGGCAGCTATGACTTGCTTCTGACTCCACAACAATGAGTTTGAGCTGAACCCTCAAGCTGTCTCCACAGACTGAAAATATTCTGAAGGAGGATCTATCTGGTTCCAAACTCTGGAGCACTAGACATGCAGCTCCAGGGTGCTCCTGGGAGCACAAGACTAAACAACATTCTGGATCTTTTTACAGACTGCCTTCTTCCTTTATCCCTTCATGTTGGATTTGGGTGCCAAACCCATCAACAAACATAATGTCGCTAACAGGGCTTTCTTAGCTGTGAACTGAACAACCCAGTTGATCAGCAGCGCTTTGGCCTCTCAATGCTCTGTAGCATTATTCATAAAAGTTGAAGATCCTTGCAAAGCTAGAGAGGCATTGTTCTTCCTGTTATGTGCCATCAAGTTGCCTGAGACTCACAGTAGTGACCCTATGTACCACAGTGTGAATCCTACCCAGTCTTACTGTCTCTGATGCACTTACCCTATTACTCCAGTCAATCCATCTCATCCAGGGTCGTCTTCTCCTCCACTCTTCCAAGCATGATGTCCTTCTCCAAGGACTGGTCCCTCCTGGCCACATGTCCAAAATATGTGAAATGGAGCTTCAAATTTATTGATTCCAAGAAGCAACTTGGTTTCATCCTCTTCAAGACAGACCTGTTTGTTCTCTTGGCAGATTATGGTATGTCCAATACTCTTCTCCAGCACCACAACTCAAGAACATTAATTCTTCTTCTACCATCCTTAGTAATTGTCCAACTTTGATGCACAGCAAGTAAAGACCATAACCTAAATCAGGTGCACCTTAGTCTCTAGATCGATATCATTGCTCCTCAGTACTCTAGAGAGGTCACTGATAGCAGATTTTCCCAATGCAATTTGTCTTTAATTTCCTGAGTGCTGGTGCCAAGAGTGTTGATTGTGTTGCCACGCAAGCTGAAATTGTTAACAACCTCACTCCCTTCTCTATTATGGTGCTGCCAACTGGCCCAGTGATGAGAATCTTTTGTCTTCTTGATGTTGAGCTTCAAAACATATTGTAGACTACATTTCTGGACCTTCTGCAGCAAGCACTTTAGGTCTTCCTCAGTTTCAGCAAGCAAGGCTGTGTCATCTACATAATGTAGGTTGTTGGTGAGTCTTCCTGGAGCCACATTCCTCCTCATAAGTCTGGCATCCCTGAATAATCTGTTCTTCATACAGATTGAAAAGGTAAGAGAAACATCCCTGACACACTCCTTTCCTGATTTTGAACCAGGGAGTGCTTTCCTACTCTGTTCTGAGGACTGCTTCCTGGTCCGAGTATAGGTTTCGCATTAGCACATCAAGTGTTCTGGGATTCTCCTTCTCCTCAAGGTTTTAGCCACAATTTGTTATGATTCACACAGCCAAACGTGTTTGCATAGTCAGTGAAAAACAGACACACATTTCTCTGACAGAGACATTATAATTTTTTAAGAAAGAACAGCACTTAGAATAAAATTTAGATTTCTGACACCATGGTTTGATTTAAGAGAATATGCCAGAGCTTAAATATCTAGCCTGCTGAAAAAGTGTTTTATCAATGCTATTTAGTGAGCAAAATAATTTTCCTTCCTTCCTTTCTAAGAAAAGTGTCTAGAAGACTTCTTTATTTAATAACCTCAGGGTAAAACAATGATCAGTTTGGGTATTTTTTTTTTAATTTAAAAAGGAGTCAGGATGAGGAGACCTGTGATCAAAGATTACTGAGAAGCCACCACCATACCAAACACAAAACAAAGGCAATAGAATAAACCAATAAATAGAGAGGCTTATAATACCGAATAGAGAGGTAATACCAAAATAGTGAATGACATTTCAACTTCTCTAAAATTTCCTCTTATTTGAAAAAATAACACTCCCATGACGAATTATTACAGAAAAATGAAGTCTATCTCTTAGACACACTAGCTAGAAGGTTAATGGCACAATTTTCCTACAATCTGCTATTTGTTATGATTAAAAATACAATTACTAAGCTCCCAAAGTGTGCTAGGGTCTATTCAGTTTCTACCCTGAAAATGGGGTCCATTCACACCTGCACTTGTGTATACGTGCACACATTCTCTCTCTCTCTCTCTCTCTCTCACACACACACACACACACACACACACACACACACACACACACACAGACTCTCTCCTTCTCTCCACATACACACATGTCTGTAAATATTAATAGGAGCAAACCACCATATCTTTCTTCTAGAGTATCTGGTGGATTTTACTCTATAACCTTTCTGGTATCAGGCCAACAGATAACCTACTCAGTCATCAGAGAAATATGTATATTTTGGTTTTAAAAAAGAAATATAGATGATAATTACACTTCTATAATTTGTTTTCTACTGTTGGAGTTATTCTTAGAGTCCAACATCTTTAGGCAGGAGGAATTTGTGAAGGAAATTATTTTTATCACTGGCCTTTCTTTAGTACCAGTGATTGCATCCAACAGAGAGAATGAGCTGATTAACTCCCAGTCAGTCCACATCCTTTTCTTAAGCAGAGCCCTTAGGTTTAGAGTAAAAATTTGAATTCTAGGGTAAACTCTGCCCCAATTGATTGTGTGAATTCAGAGGCATCATTGACCGTCTCTGACCTCTATTTCCTCACCTATATCAAAATAAAGATGGCCACAGTGCCTATCCTGCGTAGCCAACCACAAAATTGCCTTGAGGACCATGTGCAATTATGTGGGCAGTGTATCTGATAAATGGTAACATACAATTGAAACTGATTCCTGTTATGGTGCATCTGTTCTTTTTGGGTGAGGACTGAAAGGTGACAAGCGGATTTAAACCAAGTAAGTAGACTTGCAGTAAACCAAGGAAACAGTCAATTCTTCCATGTTGCCAACCACCCGAACTAAGCATAAAACCAGGTCTCAAAACCTTTCTGGTTAACATCTATTCCAGCAGGGGTCTAGTAGGGGAAGGGGATCATACTATGTTCTTTTTATGCTCAAGGAGAGGCCCATGAGTTATGTAGCAAGTCTAGGAAGATTTCTATGCCAGAGGTTAGGTGAAGCTGAAACAGGAAGAACTCTCAGTAGAAGAGCCCAACTGGCCAAGCAGAGGGTTTATAGGAAATGCGGCATACCTCTCTTTCCAAGAAGTGAGGACATTCTACAAATTCTAATATGATGGTCCATGGTAGGGAACTTTCATGTATGTCAATGACCTAAGCACATTAATTCCAGCAATTTGGAGAATTTTCTATAATAACCAACACAGGAACAAGGACAAATTTCTCTTAAGAAAGTGAAGGACTGACGGGGTTTCACCACAAGTTTGTTTTCTACTCTTTGTCCTGAATGTTCCCCACACTTTTGCTGATGGTTGAAGTTTCCCCACACTTAGCTTCAAGCTTCAGAGCAATTTTCTCTTCCTTATAAAACAAGGACCACTGTAAAAAAATCCATTCAAAATGTAGATGGAGTGCAATAATAGAACTTTTTTATAACTTTAAATTTTAAAATGTCTAATTCTATTTAAAATATCTAATTCTATTTTAAAATTTAAATTTTCTATTAAGTTGGCACTTGCCTTCTACCAGGGCAGTCTGGAGAGAGCCGCTAAAGGTCTTTTACCTTTTGTGTTTCCCCCATCTTGTTTTAATGGATCTCAAAAAAAAAAAAAAAAGAAAAGAAAAAAGAAGCCCAGAAATCCAACAATTCAATGAGAGTAAGGTAAGTGAAGAACTTCAGGGCCAAGGTGAAATGATATGTGTCATCTAACTGAAAGGAGGAAAGATTGATGTTAACGGACTCATAATAAAGTAACACTGTGGTATTAATACAAATTCAAGTGGGTGTTTAGGGGGCATCTTTACTATGTAGGAGCTTTGTCAGAACAAAAGGAACTTCTTACATTTTCATTTTGTTGGTTGCCATCAAATTGACCCGCAACTCAAGATGAGTGACCCCATAGAAATCAGGATCACTGGCTTATTTGTTTTGGGACGGAAGGAGACCGCGATCCTCCACCGCGACCAGGTGGATCATGACCTTAGTTGTTGTGTACTGGTCAGGAATCAAACCAAAGTCTCCCACATGGAAGGTAAACAACTCTGCCACTGAACCACCATATATCACTTCCTAACATAAAAGGCCTATCTTCTCCCCACCCTACCCTCAACAACCCCAGTGCAGAGATATCTCATGCAGCGGATACCTGCTCATATTTCTCCAGCTCCGTGTGGTAGATTTGTCTGATCTGTGAAAGTTTGGCTCTGTAGTCGGAATGCTCCACTGAGTTGTCTGAACCTGCACCTCCAGAAGCTGCCGCCGCCGCTGCTGCCGCCGCTGAGCCACCACCCTTCTCGGGCCCTGCGACCCCTTCTGCTAACAGCATGTTGTCCAGTCGCATCAGCTGGGGGTCTGTTGGCTCCTCCTCCTGGGCTCCCCGGATACTCAAAACTATAAGAGAAGACAAAAAGGAGGGAGTGTGTTAAAAGTAAACTATGGGAGGAAAGAACCATCAAGAACAACAAATGCTTATGCCGTTTGGCTACACAAACCTCCAAAACACAATAAGGCATCTAAGGAACTGAAAGGGTTAGAAAGTACAAAGAGAAATTTGAACCATCCCTCAGCTCAATTTTAATACCCAATAACTTTTCCTCCATCTAAAAATTGTCAAATCTCAATTCAAGCAAAAGAATTTATTTTCTCTTTTTTTTTTTTCCAATTCTGGAAGTTTGTAGCTTAGACATTTGTGGATTTCCTCATAATGTTTGATTGTTCTAAGCTTTCCTTTTCAAAATAACTGACATCAGGAAGATCCAGTTCATCTGGTACTAAATCTGATAGCACCGTATATGTGTCAGGTTACTGAGCATAAGGTTAGAGATTCGAACCCATGAGCTGCTCCTCTGGAGCGCCTCCTCCTGCTGTGAAGATTTATTTAGCCTTAGACATCCCAATGGAGGATCACTATGAGGTGAATTTAACTCAAAGACAGTGTTTTTTATTTTATTTTTTTCCTTTTAGGAGAGAGTTTAGAGATGGATACTTGGCTTTTGAGGGCGCTCTGGTGGCCTCCCCAAAGAACAAACAGATATGTTTTGAAGAAGGTGCAGCCAGAGTGCTTCTTGGAGACAAAGATGACAAAGCTTCATGTCACATACTTTGGGCATGTTGCCAAGAGAAGTTATTTTCTGGAGAGAGAAATTATACCTGGGAAGGTAGTGGGGTGGTGAAAGAGAGGAAGACCATTGACTAGGTGGATTGAAACAGTGACCATAGCAATGGGCTCTAGTGTGTCAGAGATGGGGAGAATTGCACAGGACAGGGCAGGGTTCAGATCTGTTGTTCCCAGGGTCGCTATGAGGCATACTCAACACGACAGCACCTACCAACAACAATTGGTGGCCTACCAGACAAGAAGTTGCACTGCTAACCCAAAGGGAGGCAGTTCAAATCCACTACCTGCTCTTTGGGAGAAAGCCGGGCATTCTCCTGAATTATTTACAGTCTCTGAAAACCCACTCTAGAGTCAGCTATGAGTAGCTTTTGTCTCAAAGGCAATTAGATTTGCTTAAAAAAAAAAGCCCCCAAATGAAAACGTCAATCTCCAAAAACTGAAGTTTGCAGCAGGTGCTTAAGGACTCTCTCTTGCTAGAACGCGGTGAGGACCTTTTACAAGGTCTCACCCTTAAAGGAGGCAGTCGGTAGAGGGGAGCGGTGTGCAGAGGTTCAGATCAATGAGGTACCATGTTTTATGAAAACACAATCACCACTTATGAGGGAGGCAATGTGGATGAAAGAGATGAAGTGATTAATTGAGTACACCAATTTGGATCTGTGGATCACCATCACACAATGTGCCACTTGGGGGGGGGGACCAACCACAAACGACTCATCTAAAATCCATTTCATTGTCAGCATACAAATCATTGTTGAGAAAGCATGAAAAAGAATTAAAAAAAAAAGTGTGATTCTGGGCAGGAGGAAGGTGGTAGAGCAAGGAAGAAAAAAAGTGATGAAAAAGGGAGAAGGTGTGCCCAGCGTCCACCTCTGGGAAAGGCACTGACCAGGTCCGTGTGGCAGAGGGGACTCACAGCACTGGAGCTGTGCTGAGATCAGAGTGCTGAGAGCTGTTCAGGGCACACTGCATCTGGTGAGCCTCAAGGGTTGTTGCCAGATCCACTTGTCTCCCAACCCTACAAGGCAGCCCGGCCAGGTTGTGACAGGGAAGGTGGCTCTGAGCCCAATATGAGGGGACATGCTAGATGTCCCAGGCATGCCATCATGTATAAAACCAGGATAACCGCTGGCTGCGCCCACCTGCTCCTGCTTCTTACAGACGTGACAAGAACCAACCTTGAAAGCTGTTCAGGAGGCAATTCCATCCCTGATCTGAAAGGAAAACTACAACACTGCTGTCAGGAAACTGGAGACAGTCGTGCAGTGTGCCAGACCACGCACGCACGTGGACTGCAGTGAAAGACACAGGGAGGGACACTCACTCCTTGGTTAAGTCAGAAAGCAGAGGCTGAAGAAGGGAGCGAGAAGCGGAGGCTCTTAGCTGGGAAGAAGGAAAGGAAGCACACACCAAAACGTACACATAAACTATACACCACGGACAGTTCAGTGACCAGGCTCTTCCTATCTCCTGCCGGAGCTTTCAATATTCAGAAGCAGTTAAAAAGGGGCGGTGGACGTAGTGGTTATGGTGCAGAGTTAGGAGATGGCTGGAATTTATTTCTTGAAAGATTACAGTGAAAAAAACGTAGGTGGCCATTCTATTTATCAAATGGGGTCACTAAGAGTCCAAATCAACTCAACAGCACTTAACAACCACAAAGCTGAATTACTGAACAGCTGTCTCCAGCAGTGCCAAAACGACTTTGACCCTCCAAGTGCTGCTCTCAGGGTCCAACTACCCCGCTCAGAATCAGTACACAGTCCCAGTCAAAACCAACTCACAGCTGATCCTCTACTGAGTTTCCCAGGCTGTAAATCTCTGGAGGAAAATGCCCATCTGTCTTCCTCAGAGATTCTGGTGAATTTGAACTTCCAGAAAGGGGTGGCCTTGGGCTTAGCAGCTCAACTCCCAAGGGACTCTGCCACCAGAGCTCCCTTCTGGACTCTGAAGTCAAATGAATTCGTCAAAGTAAGGGCATTTGTTAGTAGAGTTCGTGGGTATATGGTTTTCATTAGTTTACCAATGCAGATATTGATAGGCCATTGAGAAATGGGGAAAAGTACTTCTGAGCCATTCTCAAGAAACTAATTGTTTTCCTTTAATTTAGTCATGAAAAAATGGTATTGGGACAAAATTCTATTCTCTAATGCACTATGGTGACTGACAGGAAAGTTCTGTGTGGACAAAGGCAGGTAACACCAGAAGTGGGAGTACCTCCAAGTGGACCTTCTCTTGCTCCCCAGCCAGTCCTCTGGCACGCTGACACAGTGCTGATGGACCTTATATCATTACTGGTCTAAACAATGTAATGAAGGAATGAAGAACAGGGCCACCCAACCATCAGAACTTGAGCTACTCCAGGCAGTCACCAAAGTATCATCAGCCTGGGACACAGATCCCACCCTCCCAGCCTATTATCTCCCCCACTGTTAGCTTATTCCTGTAGCAAGACTCAATTCCTTCTTAAAAGAAGTAGAAGAGGAAGAGAGAGAGGCAGTCAGACCCCGGTTCTGTTCCTGACTGCTCCTGATTCCTACAGGGAGAAAGGACGAGGCCTTGAGCCTGTTACCATGCTTGAGATCTACCTCAGGGAACATTTGCTCTTGTGGGCTCTTCTCAGTTTTTCCTATCCACATACGTCTCTTATGTAAAAAGCCATCAACAGGAAATTGAAGCTATCCATACAAACATCCCACATCTTCCTAATTAATATGTGTTATGCTCTAGAATAGAACTAGTTTTAAATAAAATCAAAAGGAAAATTGCTGTGGCTGCCAAAGGACTCCAGGAGAAGTCTTCTGTAGTGGAGTGCTAAAAGGACACCCCACAGGTACCCTTACTAATCTCAACAGGACATTTCCTTTTCCACAGGTATGAAGGGATACACGTGGGAATGGGGAGTCAACAAATGTGTAAAGTGTTTCATTGAGTTTTACATTATTGTTAGGAGGCCTGCTTGTCAACACTTTTTGTAAAAAGTACGTATTTACCAGAATTTAATATAGGAGGCACCTGGTATGTTAGAATTCCTGCCTTTATCTGGGATACCATTTGGATGCCAATGTTCTTCAATGCAGCCCCACTCGTGTGTCTGTAATGGTGTGTGTGCTGCTATGACGGGGTGTGTGTGTGTGTGTGTGTGTGTGTGCATTCACGTGTGCGTGTGTATGTTTCGAGGAGGCAATCCTCAGCTAGGTGACTGTACAGAGTGGTTGCAATCAGTGGTTCAAACACAGCAAAGATTGTGATGATGGTGCGGGACCAGACAGGAAGGACCCTTTGGTTCTATTGTAAGTAGGATCTCTGAGAGTCATAACTGACACACCAGCACTTAACAGCTAATACAACAAAAGGACTCTGAACCATTCTCATCAAAGTCTCCGAAGTAAGATGTGATGAACTAGTACAAAAAGCCTGGAGCAACGAAACCTCAATAGATGACAATGTCTGAGATTGTGAAACAATTCTTTTATGCTGTGCATGAAAGTCGTCATAAATTCAGGACCAACATGATGGGAGCTAACAAGACTTAATATAACTGATTTCTAAATGTCCCCACTATGAGAAATCCCACAATTGTGACATAAATGCTGGTTGTGTTTTTACCCACAAATACGTTCCAAACTAGAGATCTAAAAAAGAAGGGGGGGAAAAAACCAAACCCAAAATAAAAAACTAACAGTGAAAACCAAGACCAAACAACTGGAGAAAAAAAAACAAAACAAAACCAAAAACCCAATTTCTCCTATTTTAAGTTCTTTCACATCATTATGAAAATGGAAAATAAATTAGAGAGATGTGTGACAAAATAAAGAGAAAAAAAAGAAAAAACTGCAGAACAGTATCAATGAAAGAAAACCTTCACCTCCTACTTTTTGACATAGAATATTCTAGTTCTGTGGACTTGGGCTGGGATGGTATGCTCTGAGGGGGCCAGGGACAGACAAATAAACAAAACCTCTCTCAGAAAAATTGCTACAGAGCAAGACTCCTAATCTACCACTTTAAAAAGGGGTGTTGAGCTTCACCGACCCTGAAACAGTTCAGCGAGTCAGTTTAAAAAAAGAAAAATCCCACCTACATTAAATAAATAAATGAAAAGGGTGATTTGTCTAAGCAGAAGTGATGCTTCCTATTTATTGCTGGAAGCCAGCACTCTGGCGAGTAGGAGACAAAATGATTATTTAAAAGCTCCTTTTTATCTCTGCGGCACCATGCAAGACTCAAATGAACCTTTCTCCAGGACACCAGAGACGTTAACACTCATCCT